AAGCTAAAGAAAGCTTTCATGAAAGCGAAAACAGACATTAAATAAAATATTAGAAAATTCGCTAACTTGTGAAATTATAGCAGATTTTCATGTTTTAACCAATGGGATGGATGGATTATACAATGCGCAATTAGCACCTTCTTGCATTCCTGTGCCGTTTGCTTCCCTAGTTCTTACTCGGGGCATTACTTAATTTTGTAAACGCGAAGAAAGTATGAAACTTAAAAAACTTGATATCTTGAAACATTGCATCTTTATCACTAATGGTGTGACCAATTCGATCAAGTATTTAAAAATGACATTTAGCGCGAAAAAGGTGTATTATTCGCTGGACAAATACGCCTTTTTCCCGTTCAAAGTGAGCAACCGCTGCTTTAGTAAAAACATGTCTCGCTCATGCGCAAAGACCTTACCAAAAACAAAAAAATGTAGTTATTACAATAGCCCGATCAATTTCTATTTTCTCCGATTCTGTATTCCCAGAAGGTTCAAACTCTTGCTCAAGCCTCATATTGGAGAAGATTCAAATTTCTAGAGCTATTGTAATGTCAACATTTTTTCGTGATTTCTTTTGTTCTCTACGCAAGTGAATCTGTTGTGTACTAAAACAGCGGTCGCTCGCATTGAACTGGAAAAAGGCTTATTCCCCAGTGGACCATAGGCTACCCAACTATTGCTTGAGAGAAAGAAAAGAATGAATGCGCACGCTTTTATCAGCGCTTTTATATTATGTTATCGAATCGGCGCGGGCGGTGGGTTACCTGTGGTATATTACGTCACGATCGCGCGCCTCGCGGGATACAAACTAGTCTGTGACAAGGTATGAAACACTGGTCACGTGACAAATATAATTTTGCTCCTATTTCACCGAAAATCAGCAGAATTTCACCGAAAATCAGCAGAAAACGACGATTTTCTTTCAAATAACTACACATCGCCAGATTTCCTAACTATCTCATGATTTTTAGTCTGAAATTTTTATCACATGAGGAGAAAATGAACGTTAAGCATTTTACTCGTCGTGGACCGATGTGTGCACCAGGCAGCTGGGCATAAGATCTGAAACTATTGCGTCATCATCGGAAACCGAGCGGACTTCCAACTCGTGAGATTGTCGAGAACTATCGTGAACCATCGAGACTTTCACGGAGTATTTTCGTAATTCCCGAAGTATGTAGCTTTTACATCACATTTCTTGACGTCCTTTGTGTATAGTTTACAAAACAAAACAAAACATGAGCGAAATTACTCCAAACTTTGAGCAAAGGAAAGCCGTAGACCTGGCTATGTCTGGACACAATGTTTTTCTAAGTGGCAGAGCCGGTACAGGGAAAACTTTCACGGTCAAATACCTCGTGAAAATGTTGGAAAAGCACAAAACCTT